CATCTCATAAATGCCTAGCATGTTGATATTTATGCGTTCCATTTCTTCCTTAACAATATCTAATTTTCCTACATTCGTGGTTCTCACATTCCATGTCCCAATCACCAGTGTCTGCTTACAACTGTTCCTCTTCCTTTGTACTTCTATACTTGAAAACTCAACCTCCTTTGCCTTTTCTGTTATCTAAATGTGTTCTGTTGTACATAGTGTTTCAGAGGTCTGCTATTTCAGAAGTGGATGGCCAATCCTTCTTCCTAGTTTGTCTTAACGTGAATGTTCAGATTTAGATAAGTATCAGACAGACCAGCAAGTTAAAGGTATATCCCTTATAGTGGAGTTAGCTTTAGTGTCAGTGTTGTCCCTGCCTTTCTCACACGCGTCGTTACCCACTTATTTCCCTGCTCCACCATCCACCAGGATACCCATCCACCTCTACCCCCTCCCTTCACATCTATCTCCCTTTGACCAGCTCTCCATCTAGTAACTGATATATGAAGCTTCCATGGCTTCTGTGATTCCAAACACATCAGCTGATGGTAGTTCCTTATGTTGGGATCAATGTCTCTGAAGTTTAGTTGTAATGTTTCCCGAGCAAAGTGATGCATCCTGTAGAATTGGTGTGTAGATAGGCTTTTCTTGGCCCAAGGGCTGGAACTATTACCTGGGAAGATGGGTGGGGACTGAGGCTGGCCTCTAAGCTGCCCAGCTTTCAGCTAGTTGGACGCCTGTACCCCCTCTCTGAGTGGCCCGCCGAACGCATGTTGTGCGGTTTTTGCGTCTACTAGTAATTCTTAATTTGTATTTACTGAGATAAACATAAGGTAAACAAATGAGAGGAACTTGGCCTTATTTGCAAAAGACTTCCCCATGATCCTTCCCCCCCCCCATGATCCTTTTTATATTTACTTCTCCCTTGTGATTTTCCTTTCTTTACCTTCCTGATGATTCTCTCAATAAATACACAGAAAGGCGTGGCTTGAGTCACTGGAACTGCTGGCCCCCTCCCTATCTTTAACGCTCAGTTTTATCTTATTCCTGATTGTCTGTCTCATTATTAATAATTATTAAAATACTTTACCCTCAGTTTGCTATAATGTACTCCTTTGCTAATGTTAAACCATTAATTGTATCCCCTTGTTCTATTCAAGCAACTGCTTCTTGGTCCATGAAAAGGTTTCACATGAGCACAGTTAAGTATTTTAGCATTCTCACTCTGCGCAATGTTTATTTATTATGAGCCACACAATCAAATGCTTTAGCATAATCAATAAAACACAACTGATCATCTTCCTGGTATTCTCTGCTTGCAACCAAGATCCATCTGTTGTCAGCAATGGTGAGCCATTATTGGTGACCTTTTAGGTGAGCATAGGGAGGGACAATTCTTTCCCAGGTCTTATACAGAAGCAAGGAACTCATCTGGGCATGTCTTAATGATTTACTGAAAACAGCAACATGTTACATGTTGTTATTGTTGTTTTTAAGTGCCATCGAATCAGTCAGGACTCATAGCGACAGATCTGAACCCTATCCTATCCTGTGCCATCGTCATACTTCCTGACACACTAGAACCCATTGGGGCAGTCACCATGTCAATCCACCTGGTCAAGGGTCTTCCTCTCCTTCACCAACCCTCCATTCTTCCAAGCATCATATCCCTCTTCAAGGAATAGCCCCTCCTAGCAACATGTCTAAAATATGTGAGGTGAAAACCTCATCCTTCTTGCCTCCAAAGAACACTCTGGCTGCACGCTCTCCAGGACTTATTTGTTCTTTTGAATGTCCAAGGAATGTTTCTGAACAAAGGCATCAATTCTTCTATCATTTTTATTCATGGTTCAGCTCTCAGATGCATAGCAAGTGATCAGAAAGACCATGGCTTGAATCAGACGCACAGTAGCTCTCAAACTGACATGATTATTCCTCAGTAATTTGGAGAGGTCCCTAACTGCACACTTTCCCAAGTGCAATTTCCTTGTTTACATAATTTATTGCATATTACATACTTAAAGTTAGAATTGGGGTCCTGACTACCACTTAGTGTTACATGGCCACAAGTCATCATGTCCCAGCTACTATTTCACCAGATAGTGGAGACCTCAGATCTAATCCTGTAAAGTTGGTTTGTTTTTCTTGTTGTGTGCCATCGAGTCGAATCCGACTGGCACAGGAGGAAATTGCCCGTCCTTCTGCGGAGCATCTGGTGGATTTGAACTGCACACTTTCCTGATTGCAATCTTGTAAATTGAGGGGGGGGGGTATTAATCTGTAATTGTGCACGTGTCCCAGTCACGGTTTTTTGCTTCTATAGTAATTCTTGTAGCAATAATGGATTGTAACTGTCACCATTTATGATCCGGTGATGATTTTGTTGTCAAATTATATAAATGAAAGCCAGGATTACAGTTGGAATCCACCAGCCACTCCTCAGGAGAAAGGTGTGGCAGCAGGAAACCCTTGGGGGCATTCTACTCGGTTCTATGAGGTTATTATGAGAATTGACTTGGTGACAGATTTTATTTTGGAATTTGAAACATTTTCTACTTTAACACTCCTACCCAAGCAAGAGGATTGGTTTGTTCTTTATATCTGAGCTCCCGTTACCTGTTACTTACTAAAAAAATGGAAAATTAGGCTATTAAAACATGCTCATTGTGAGAATGGAGAACACTGGAACACGCTGCTATATCCAGGGAATCCCTTTGAGTTTTTAAAGAAAATAATAGGATACACTGAGAAGCAAAAGAGTTTTTAAAAAAGGAAGAAGATGAACAGGGAAAGGAGTGTATTCTTAAGCCAAGGAGGAAGGCGAAGTTAGGTAAAACGCGAGTAAATAAAAAACCAACCAGAATAACAAGGATGAGGAGGGCAAGTGGACAACTGCTGATCAGGGACCAGAGCCAGTTGGGCTGAGGCAGGGGTGGGTGGCTAAAGCGTGGCCCGTCCAGGGACTTGCCAAGCAGGCACTGGGCAGGGGCGGGGAGGAGAAGGGAGGGGCTTGGCGAAGCGCAAAGACAGGGCAAGACATAAAAGGGCGATGACCCTAGCTGGTTGATGGCACCGCTGACCTCCGACGCCCAGGGCAAGAAGGCCCAGGGACAGAAAACGAGAATAAAGGCTGGACTGCTGAAGCCAGCCCTGAACTCGCGAAACAGACGCACTGACGGAGAAGGGAGACCCCCTCGGAGCGCCCAGCAGCCCCGCCAGCATGTGCGAACTGTACAGTAAACAGGACACCCTAGCGCTGAGGAAGAAGTACCTCGGGTAAGGTAGAGAAGTGCAAAAAGTGGAGACATGAAAGGACAGAGAGGGGCAGGGGGAGCAAGCAGCGCCCAGGAGAGAGAACGACCGAGGTAGCCGCCTGCAGGTTGCGAGCGCGAGGCTCCACCCGCCGCCAGGACTGCGCACGCGCACCGAGGCTGAGCGCCCGCTGCGCTTCCACTCGCTGGGACCGCAGGGGAGGGGGCTGTTCGTGCCTCCAGCGGGGATCCTCTGTTAGGGGTCGGAAAAGTGGGGGGCTGCTATGATGATTAATAGCCCTAGAGAAGACTATGATGTAGGGGTGGGCACTGGATAGTAGATGATTAGCTTGCTGCACCCACTCCTCCCTACATTTTTAAAAATTACAAACCTAAAATAGTGCTGATGGTGGTTTGTGAAAACAGCTAATGACAAGTTTTGCTTAAAATGAATTTTTCTTCTCCAGTGATTGTTGGCTAAAGGGTAAAAAGTTGAGTGAATGACAAATTTTGTTTCGAATGGGTTTTTCTTTTCTTGTGCTCGGTTAAGCCAGGCCATAAAAACTACCTTCAGTGAGTCAAGTTGAGAGCTCAGTTAGCAGATGTCCCCTTGATCTCCCCAGTTATGTTTTCACTTAATTTATAAGTGGAATGTTCTCCCCAGTCTACTTTTGTTCCACCAGTGTTGTTAATATTAACTACTAGGTCATCTAACGGTGTCAGTTTGTAGTCTTGTGGTGGCGTATGAGTTGCTGGGATATTAGAAGCAATGTAACCAGTATTTCAAATATCAGTGGAGCCTAAGACAGACCAAAGGAGTATAACTGGCTATTGAAAACTTGATGAACAGCAGTGGATCATTACCTGATACAGTGTCAGTAGATGAACTCTCAAATTGAAGGTACTTAAACCATAACTGAGAAAGGACTGCCTCCTCAAAGTAGATTTCCCCTTAATGAATGGATGAACTTTCAGGACCTGCATTTGCTTATCAACTGTCATTTACTGATGTGACTTGATCCAAAACGAGGAGAAATGATTGAGTATTCATTATAATCAGAACATGGAATGTATAAAATATGCATCTAGGAAAATTGAGGATTATAAAAAATGGCATGAAACATGTAAATATCAGTATCTTGGGCATTGTTGTTATTAGGTGCCACCGAGGCTGATTTAATTCATTGCAACCCTGTATACAACAGAAGAAAACCCTGCCTAACCCTCTACCATCCTCCCAATCTCTGCAGAGTGCCTGCCAACTTGCTGATCTAAAGAACTATATCAAATACGGATCCACTGGTTAGTCAGAGGGTTTCCAAGGGTTCATTATTTCAGAAGCGAATGGTCAGTCTTGCTTGTCTCTTATCTCTCTGCTGAAACTTGTCCACCATGAGTGAATCTGATGGTATTTGAAATACCGATAGCTTTCACTATCACAACAATATGCAGGCCAGTGCAGGATGACAAACTAACAAACAAGTGGTAAATCCTAGCTGTTAGTGAACAGAAATAGACAGACACTGGCTTCTTTGAATGAGTCAGTCACAATGGTCTATTATGCCAGGAAGGACAAATTGAAGAGGAATGGCATAACATTCATTGTAAAAAAAGAACACTTCAAAATCTATTATGGAACAGAATGCTGGTAATTAAAGGATATTTTCCAATTGCATTAGGGAAATATGCTGTCAGGGACCTTTCCAAAGTCCTAAAGAGCAGCAATGTCAGTCTTGAGAGCTGCACCTGATTCAGACCATAGTTTTCGCAGTTACTTGCTATCCATCAGAAAGCTGGATGGTATCTAAGGATAACAGAAGAATAAATGCCTTTGAGTTGTGGTGCTGGAGAAGAGTATCAGATATACCATGGACTTCTAATAGAACAAACAGGTCTGCCCTGGAGAGGGTGAAACCAGGCTGCTCCTTAAAAGCTCAAATTTTGAAGCTCTAACATACTTTGGGCATGTGGAAGGAAGGGGCCGATCTTTGGAGAAGGCATCCTGCTTGGAAGGGTGGAGAGACAACACAGGAGAGGAGACCCTGAATGAGATAGACTGACAAAGTGACTGGGGTAGTGGGAATAGATGTGTCAGAGACATTAAGACTGGCTCATGATAAAGCAAGGTTCAGAGCTATTGTACTTAGGGTCACTATGAGTTGCAGGCAACTCTATGGCACATAACAACAACAACAATTCAAGGAAGACCTATGAGTATGAATATTTGACCCTTATCACTAAGATGAAGAAATAGAAAAATTCTGCCAACTTCTGAAACATGTAATCAACATACACTGATAATTACTGGACTGCAAAAGTTAGAAACAATGAAGAAGGATTGTTAGAAAATATTACTTTAGCGGTAAAAATTATGTCAGCAATCACATGATAGTATTTTGTATAACCAAAGTGTTGTTCATTGCAAATGCTTTTTTTAAAAAACCCACAAACCAAAAACATTAATGACAACTATAAGTGTGGACCTCACCAGGTAAAATATTCAGAAATCAATTGACTATATCTGTGGAAAGAGACAGTAAAGACGCACCATATCATCTCTCAGAACAAGACTAGAGGGGCCAACTGTGGACGAGATCACCAGTCATTTTATATGCACGAGTAAATTGAATCAGAAGAAAATGAAAACAACTCCATGAGCGCAAAAATAAAACCTTGAGTATATTCCACCTGATTTTAGAATCATCTCTAGATTTGATGCATTGGACATTAATGACTAAAGACCAGGTAAGTTGTGGGATGATATCAAGGAAAATGTACATAAAGAAAACAAAAAGTTGTTAAAAAGACAAGAAAGACCAAAATGGGTAGCTTAAGAGACTCTGAAACTTGTTCTTATATGTAGATAAACTAAAGCAAAAGGAAGAAATGATGAAGTGAGCTGAACAGAAGATTTAAAAGATTTAGATTTTTAGAAGATTTAAAAGGCCTATAATGAAATATGCAAAGATCTTAGTTAGGAAATCAAAAAGGAAGAACATGGCTTGGCATTTTTTCAAGCAGAAAAAATGGAATAAAGACAATCAAGCCATCAGTTGCAATACTGAAGGATTCTTTGGGCAAAATATTGAATGACAAAGGAAGCTTCAAAAGAAAATAGAAGGCATACCAACAGGGTACTAAAAAGAGCTGGCTGATGTTCAGCCATTTCAGAAGGGAACATGGGATCAAGAACCAGTGGAACTGATGGAAGAAGTCTAAGTTATGTTGAAGTCATAGACATAAAACAAGCCCCTGAGAATTAGCAGAATACCAATTGTGTATTCCTTCCATCTTCTTTTAATGTTTGTGTCAGATTTTAACCTATATTTATAACAGAGGTTTTATTTGAAATTTAATTTCTCAGTATAAACTAACAGTTTAATTTGAATCAAGAAAAATTATTATTTTTTTCCATTTAAGGTGATAATAACATTAGAATCAATATATAACATAATTAGTCTTTTACAGTTTTTTAATTTTAAGGTTATTTATGATCACAAAACTAAGAACACTAAATAGCTGCATAACATTTTTAAATATAAATGTGTAAACAGTTCCAAAACTACTTCAAATTTGTCTAGTATTTTAAACATGTAAAATCACCAAAAAAAATGTATGCTAAGTTTATGATCAAATGTATGTTAAGTTTATGATCATAGACTTAATACTAAAAACCTTTTTTGATGTTCCAGTTTGCTAAGATTTACACTTAATATGTTTATTCAAGTAACCAAAACGATGGATTCCTTATCATGTTCAAAAGAAGGGATTAAGGGCTTAGATAGATAATTTCATCTCATTGCTTAAGAATGAAAACTCCAATTGATACAAGTTAAGCACCACTCAAAATGCATGGTAATGTCTCCTTTAAAACCCTTTCATTTATTTAAGCAATTCTCACTGAGTTATTTCTTTATGAATTCAGTTTTAGAGCAAATTGTTTATAAATTAGATTATAAGGGAGGAGGGACTAAAGGAAAATAAACTACTCTCATGGGCATTAATGGCACAAATCAATGTCAATTCAAATTTTTATTTTCTCACTGCGTACCACTGAGAAAGTAATAATTCTCTTGACTATTCTGTAGTTTGGTTTCCTCACCTACAAATCTGGGAACAATGAATATAATGAAATAATACTTGTAAAGTATGTTCAGACAGTTCCTGGTGATACCAAAGTCTGCTATCATAAAATCTATTTCAATTCATAATCACCCACCCTCTATGGGGTTTTCAGTGCTCTATAAATCTTTAAGGAGATTTCATTGCTCTCCCTGGATATGGCTGGTAGATTCAGACTACTAACTTTTCAGTTAACAGCCTAATATATTAGGTACTATGCCTCCAGGAATCCTTTCCTGATTGTTGTTGTTATGTGACGTCGAGTCGTTTGCGATTCATAGTGACCCTATGTACAACAGCCCTAAACCCTGCTCTATCCTGTGCCAATCGTGTGGCCTCTGACACACCCATCCCAATTATCCCGGTCATTGAATCAACCCACTTCATAGAGGGTCTTCCCCTCCTGCGCTGTCCCTCCACCCTACCAAGCATGATGTCCCTCTCCAAGGACCTGTCTCTCCTTACAACATGTCCAAAGTATGTCAGACAAAGCCCCAGAATGCTTGCCTCCAAGGAGTAGCCTGATTTAACCCTCTCCAGGATGAATGTTTGTTTTCTTGGAAGTCCATGGAACATTCAATACTCTTGTCCAGCACCACAGCTCAAAGGCATCAATTCTCCTTCTATCCTCCATAGTCATTGTCCAACTCTCTGAGGCATAACAAGCGATTGCAAAGACCATGACCTGTATCAGGCGCACCTTAGTCTCCAGAGAGACACCGTTGCTCTTGAGTACTTTAGAGAGGTCCCTAACAGCAGACTTTCCCATCGCAATACAATTTTTTATTTCCTGGCTGCTGGTGCCAAGAGTGTTGACCGTGGAGCTGAGCAAAATGAAGCTGTGAACAATCTCAATCTCTTCACCATCCATCCTGATGCTACCAATTGGTCCAGTGGTGAGAATCTTTGTTACATGAGTATAAAAATTTTTATGCTTTCGTTATAAAAAGGTTTTTTGGTTTGTTGGGTTTTTGTTTTTGTTTTCCTGGCAACATTTCTTACAGGTAAATTAATTCTTGTTATGTGATTTGTTGTTACAGATTTGTGTACCTCTCAATACTACTGTCAAATCATGGTAAATTTTTATTGTAAAAATAGAAGGATAAAGAGTAAGATGTGGATAAAAGTCCAAAGCAGAAGGTAGAAAAGAAGGGAAATCAGAGTCACAGAGTTAGTGGGCAGAGGGAAGGCATGAAGGATTTATGATAGATCTTGTGGAGGTCTGAAAAGATGGGATAACAGTGAGCACAGAAAACTAGTCATTAATTTTATAAAATACAGTGTATAGGAATGATTGAATGAAACATAATATGGATTAAGGAAGTTATGAAACACAATGTACATGAATGAAACACAATGTGTACAAATTTTGGATACAAACTAATGTAAAGTTTAATTTTTTTAAAAAAATCTTAGCAAATTTAATAACACAAGCATGAGAAATTTGAGCAGTGTCATAAATAGGTCGTTAAGGTAAAAGATTCTATGAAAAAAAGAGAAAATGTATTTTCCCTCTCCCCTTTTCTTTTCTGTATTTGTAATTTTCCACTGATCGTGACCTTCACTGAGAAGGAAAATTACTGAGCAGTCCCACTGGATCAAAATGCTTCCTTTCATTATTTCTAGGCCCTCATGTAAAGTTTTCTTTGCGGCGGATCCCATCAAAATAGTGCGAGCCGGGAAGCAGTACATGTTTGACGAGAAAGGCGAACAGTACTTGGACTGCATCAACAATGTTGCCCATGGTAAATGTCTCTGCTGGGCTTTGAAGGAAACATTGACAGGGTTGGGCAAATCCAAGACGTTAATATGTGAACTGGGAATGTCAGGGGTGCAGTTTCTTTGCTGCACGGCAGCTAGTCCTTTCAGGGAAAAGTTGCAGCAAAAGTAGAAGGAAAGAAATTCAGCTTTCTTTGCTTCATTGTTCTGTTTTGGTTTTTTTCCCCTTTCCTTTCCTTCCTTTTGCTTTCTTTCTGTCCTTCCTAATTCCCCTCACTTCCCATGCATTTAGAGGTATAACGTACTCGTTGGATTTTTGTCTCCTGTCTTTCAGTGGGACACTCTCACCCTGAAGTCGTCAAAGCTGCCACAAAGCAGATGGAGCTGCTAAATACAAACTCTCGCTTCCTCCACGACAGCATTGTGGAGTATGCCAAGCGCCTGTCGGCAACCCTGCCGGAGAAACTCTCTGTTTGCTATTTTACAAATTCGGGGTATGTGTCTGGATTTCCAACACTCCCCATCATATTCCCTCACATAGAGCTCTCTTTTTGATTCTTGGTGGAGTAGGTTTCTTTTAAAAAGTGTTTTAAGTGCGTCAATGAATGAATGGAAATCCAAAGACTCTAAATTTTCATTGAAATTAGTAATAATAATAATAATAATAATAATAATAAAATTTTTTAAGTGTTGTGAAATTTTTGCTGTTTATTTAGAAAGTGATCAAACAGTAGAGATCTGATCATTTTGTTTCTTTCAAAGGCTTTTGAGCAAGCTTTTAACAATTGTCTATTTTTCTGATATTAACTCGTGTTGCCACCCATCTTTGTAATTACCAAGGTTTACTTGGTGGAAGATGGGAAAGAGTACTTTTAAATGCCCTTGAAGGATGGATATTTAGGTAGCAACAAGTTAACAATATTTAGGTCTTGTATTTATGTAACTAAACTGGTCAAAAAATGCAATAGCATAAATAATTACAGATTCAGTGAATGAAAGATTTATATTCTTCTGACATACAGATAAGAAATTTTAGCTAAGAAACAACGCTTCTAAACAAACTATAATATTGTAAGATTTTTAAAATTGGCTTTGATAATTGCACATACCCTCTACCAAAAAGAAAATCATTCAAAGGAATGTATATGTTCCAACTTTTGTATTCTGTAAATAAGTATTATTATATGTTCATTCTAAGGAATATGACACAGCATGAAAAAGTATATTTTTTTAAAAAATACATACCTAATGACATTTGAAAGTTTACAGTGCAATATTATAGTGGGTGTGAAAACTGTATGTAGAGTTCCAGTGCCTGCCTTGAAAATTACCTTTCTCCTGAGAAGTAGCCAGTGGATTTGAACTGCAGTTGAAATATCATAATATTTGGCTTTTGTTTCTAAAGAAATACTATACAGCCAAACCCACTGGTGGATTCCAACCTCCAGAGAGGCATAGACTTTCACTTAGCAGCAAACCTGCCTCTGGGCTATATCACCAGGGCTCCCTCATCCAAGAAAAGGAAATGGTAATACTTACAGAGTTGTTATAAGAATAAATACAAGTAAAATGCTCAGTATAATTTCCTTCATAGTAAACATTCCAAAAATATATATTACCTTCTTTTGTGTCTGGGTAGTATACTTAGTTTTGAGCCACATAGAAAGATTATCATCTTCATTCTATCAGTAATGATAACATTTGACCAATACATTCCATCAATGCAACAATATCAAACATTCAACAACTACCAAACATTCAAACAATACAACATAATTTGGTAGCCAAGCTAATGAGCCTTCCATTGCTCCCATTGAGGTTAGGACAGGCTTCTTATGATCCTCAAAATTAGTCACCTATTGATGAGGGCGGACTGAGCTGAAGTTTAAAATGGACAATATATAATTAATTCTTATTCATATGCATCTGTACATTTAATTCTTTGTTGAAAATAACTGGGGAAATCATTTAAAGGGCAAATGGAGATGGCAGCATTGAAAGATATTTTGACCTGTTACTTTGCATGATTCTAAATATTTCAAATCTGACAACTTTTTAAAGTAAAGTCTTGATATATTTAAAAGAACTTATATCACATTGTATAATTCTCTGTGTTATCTCAATAGGTCTGAAGCCAATGACTTAGCTTTGCGTCTGGCCCGGCAGTACAGAGGCCACCAAGATGTGATCACTCTTGACCAGTAAGTCATGGATACAAGATTTCTAAGCAAGAAATTATCTCAGAAACAAAATTATATTGATATTATCCATACCAATACCATAAGCTTGCATGAAGGATAGTGGGTATATGGCACAAAATTGTTTATTACTTATTAAGGTATAAAGATTACCTTAAGCTTAGAGGACACTGAATTTCATCTAAGAACCTTCAAAAGAATGAGATTCTGGTGAGGGCAATGGTTGTGGTTTGATGAGCTTCCCATACATCAGGGTTTATGTCTCACACATTAAATATTTATGGAACTACTATGTAATTGATCAATCGATTTTTTCAAAATAAAATATAATTTATTTCTCAATAATTTAAGCATTAATTTCATTATTGTAATTATCCAGTAAGATTAATTTGAAAACTATCAGTAAAGAACAAATTTTAAAACAACAGTCAAATAAAATTCACTGGTTTTTTTTATTATTAACAGTCTATATTAATTATGAATTTAAGTATTTATACATGTATTTAAACATCTGTGGGTTTTTTTTTCTGAGAATTACACATTCACATTTTTAATTGGGCCATAGAACTCAGTATGTACTTTTAAAAATTACCAGTTGATCATAATAAGTAACCAGAATTAAGAAATGAAGAAAAGCTGTGTTGGTATTTCCTTTGTTTTGAGACATTTCAAATCTCTTCTCCCCTTATGTCATCTGTCTTTTCAATATAAGTTATTTGTTGTTGTTGTTGTTGTTGTT